TATATATAACTGATTAAGTCTTAATTCTACCAAATGGAAGATATTTCTTTACAGACAAATATAGGTCATCAGGAACGTCTAATGATTTAGACAAAAATAATCCTTTTATTAAAGAAAAATCAAAATTAAATCGTTTCATATTTCCATACATATATATATATTTATATTAAATAGTTAAAGCCTCAATCAATCAAAAAATTTGATCTAAAAATCATTCTCATGTGACAATTTTGATGAGATCATTATATTTATACATATATTAATCTATTGAATCCATCACATTGTTAAAAATCTCAATATCACATATACATATATGACAAATGAGAGAAAATAATTAAACTAAATAAAAAATTCCCTCTAGTAATTTAATCCTTTCCAGCTGGATGTATCCATTTGGATACATTAAGCCAATGTTTTACGAAGAAGTAAATTATAGTGATGATATGAAATGTTTTGACGATTTGATAAATAAGTTAACACAATTCAACACACATTCACGTGTTTAGAAGAAGAAAAAAACACTCATTAAGAAAATGGTTGGCTCTATACCTCAAATGCTCAAAAATAGCGACCGTATAGAAATAATCCTTTTCTCGTGCCTCTAAATAATCAAACTTCGAAGCAAGTAGTTGTTAATTTTCCTTCATAGACCTATAGTCTATTGCATCACTAAGACGGATTATTTAAACAACTAGAATAATAAAAAATGGAAATGTATCCATTTGGATACATCCGGCCACTAAGGGACAAATATTTTGCAAAAACTCGTTTCGTTTTGCCTATCAAAATTCAATACTTTATGGTTTTTTTTTTACATCTATATTTGTAGATGCAATCACACGTTGTCTGTTTGTCGATGTTTTGCAGTCCAAAGCTTAAATGTTTGTAGAATGTTCTAAGATTCTGCAGTATGATGCGATAGTAGCTGAATTTTTTCCGAAAATTTCTAAAAATTCAGGAAACTTGTAGAGAGTTGCTGAATATTTCGTAATAGCCTAGTTCTGAACACTACAGTATGTTCAGAAACTCTTTAGAAAAAACCATAAAATATCGAATTTTGCTAGACAAAAAGAAATGACTTTTTCAAAATATTTGTCCCGTAATGGCCGGATGTATCCAAATGGGATACATGAAGCCATAAGATGTCGAAACACTTATTGGTTCTGAAAAATAAACTTTTCCTATCTCCATGGTCTAGAAGCAACGAAAATCCATAAAAAGACTTTTTTTGCTACTTGCCTTCTAGTAGCCGGCTGGAAAGGGTTAATAATAATTTTTGAAAGAAAAATCTTAGTAAATTTTTAACTATTTTACAAAATTTTTTCTTAGAATTCGTTATTATCTAATTGATAATGTGTATGTTTTAGAAATTTAGAAGAAACAGTTTTGAAGTAAAAGAAAACAATTCTGTCGAATTCGAAAACATTGGAAATATTTCTATAATTTAATATGTTATTTACATTCTAGGTTTTTTTTTTTTTTTTTGTTTAAAACAAACTTCCACATCCGATAGCATTATAACAACTATTTCAACAAGCAAATCTGCCTTTTTTTTTGAAAATATGATATTCTGAAGTGCACTCAAAAATTACGACAGTTTTATTCTTGTAAACATTACTCTTGGGAAAATCTTGAAAAGCCCGTTGAAGCATAGAGTACATCATTTCCTGTCTATTGGTATTAAGTATATTACTTTTAACGTCAGCTTTACAAAACAAAAAAAAAAAAAAATAATAATCATCAGTAGAGAATAATAAATCAGAGTGTAGCAATTAAATTTAATATTGACAAGGTAGTTAGATTTGATTAGAAAATAAAATTGATAGTTATGTAGAAGTGTGAAATTCTATGTCTTTATGGAATATATAGATAATGTGTTATGATGAAGAATTAAGCGATTAAGATTTTGTATAATTTATTTTTTGTGAGATTTATTAGGAAAAAATCTTTAGATTAGAATAATGTTAAAATGATTGAGACTGTTAGATTTTCTTGACAGAATTTTAAGGTTTGTGATTTGAAATTTTTATTTGTAAATCTTCTTATTGAAACAATATTGTCAACATTTCAATCAAAAACAATTTTGTTGGTTTTTTTTTGATTGATTTTGTACTGAAAACATATGAATCAAATTATTATTTGGATTATTATAGATAAGAGCTTCATCTCTCTAAATCTAAAATATGACCTTAAAGTTGATGAATTACTTAGCATGATTCCTTTTTATGGTTTGATTATCATAAAAAGACATCTAACGTATTATATTTATAGAATTTAATGACTTTTTTAAGGAAACGTTTTAGTTCCTTTTTATTTCAATACGTCATTGTAATTTTAAAGGATTTTTTCTTTTTTTTTTTAAAACAAGATTATTGAATTCATAATTTATAAATATTACTAACATTTTGAACTATAGTTTATAATAAACATGTCTTTTATGCGTGATAAAATCAATAAAATATTATATATTCAATGAATAGAATCTTTGTTTGATTATATTTCACAATTGACATCCCATAGGACACTGAAAAGAAAATTGTTAGAAAGTTAGCAAAATATTAATCTTGAAATGTTATCTATAAGAATCTTAGAAAAACAATATATATATATATTTGCCAATAAAGAGATTGATGATTATCAAAGCCTAGAAATATATTGCATTGAATTGTGTTTATTAGATGTTGGTTCAAATCTAATGAAAAGATAATAAAATATATTGATGATGACAAATGTTGTATTCGTGCTTTTTTGACTTACTTATATATTGTACTGGTCTGTCTTTAATATGATTATAAGATTACTTATTTTTATTATTATTTTTTTTGTCATATTTTCGACAAGATAAATAACAAGTTGTTATTTGAAGTGTAATGTCTATTGACTAAATACATTAAATATATTAGATACATATATTTCGTACATCAATAATGTTTAGTTTTAAGACGAAAAAAAAAAAGAATAAATCAAAGTATTTTTTTATTCAACTAGATAAAAAATAGTATAAATAACTTCTATTTCAAATGAATCTATGTTATTGCAAAAATAAAGATGTTTAATACTAAGAAATTTTTATTTTTGTTCACGAAGAGAAATAAGCTCACGTGTAATAATCATTAGATAGTAGACTACATTTTGTTTCAATCAGATATATGAATGTTTACATAAATGCATATAAAGAGATTCATTGAATCCATAAATTAGAATCATTACTTCACCAATCTAAAAAAAAAATTCGCACTGTTATAATCGGACTAATCTCAGAATTAGCGATAGTCAATTACTTTCATGCGTAATAAAAATGTGATATTCTGCACTTGATCATTTTCTATCATACCTACTTTGGCTAGAAAGATTTCTAGCGTTGGTCGATCTATCTTCTTCTTTTTTTTTCTAGTTTCTTTTTTTTTTGTCGCACTGTCACTCAAAGAAACGTCAGTATCTATCAGTACTTCTCAATCTTCCCTTTTTTCGTCGGTTCTCTTCCGTGCTCATCTCTTCCTCTCTCTCCCTCTCTCTCTCTTCTCTTTGCTTTAATGTGCGTATAGAATGAAGTCAGATTTTTCTAGGAAAAACATATTCTAGAAACGAGACAGATTGTTTTCTATTCGTCTACTAAGTATATGAATGTCTATAATGCTTTCATTTCCATTGTTGATGTTGAACGAACATTCAGTTCAATTGACCTAATGCATACATCTAATCGGAAAGACAATAGACTAATGATGTCGTATATGTGATTAATACGTTTTCAAAACGTAAGAATAAAAACAAAAGAAATTTGAGAACGTCTATCAATAATGAGAGCAGAAACACCATTACCTTCTTTACTTTATCGACAATCTACTCGACGAAAAAAAGTTCAATTTAACAGGTAAACATATTTTCTTTATCTTATATGTAATATTTATAGTTAGAATTATAAAATCAATAATTTTCGATCTAATACATATAACTAATAATAGAATAAGTCTTATTGTATTAGTTACGTTTTTTCTTTTGTTTTTAACAATGTCAGAAAATTTTTCAGACATGAACAACAAATATAGGAAGTCAACTTAACGTCAAACTAATAATCATGTTGGTTATTCTCAAATATATTGTAAAAACTTTTTTATTTCTGTCGTATGTTCTTTTTTGTTGTTGTTGTGATAAGTTAAATTAAAAAGAGACTTAAGCTATAGTTAGTATTGCAATGATTTTCAACAAAAATTCATATATTTCAAGAAATCGTAGGGTAGAACTTTATTGACTTTTAATGTTGTTACGAGAATTTGCAAGATGCATAACTCTGTGCAAATATCCGGTCTTTTTTCAATAAGAGGAGTACTTATGTCTTTTTTTTTACTGATCGATTGATGGAAGAAAAAAAAAAAAAGACAAGTTTATTTCCTAATGTTTATTATTTATTATATCTTTAAGAAGAATATTTTAGTTCATAGATATTTTCTTTTTGATTCATTTTCTTATCATTGAATTTCTGATGCTAGTTTAATTTGATGTGTCCTATGACGCTCGACTAATGCATAGACTCGTCATAGTCTATATTAATTTTCTTTTTTTACTAGTTGATGTCAAATAAATAAAGAGATGTTAGAAAGACAAAAAAAAACAAGAAACTCTTAATGCTTTAAAAAAAAATTCATCAAAGAATTGCCATGTAGTCAGATAGAGACTAGAAGAAAGAGCACAGCGTCCTCCTTTCATTCCCTGAAGGCTTTGATTCTCCTCTACAAAAAGAAAATGGTTGAGTTCCGTTTGAAACGGACGTTGAATCTCTTCTAGAAGCATTCCTAGAAGGTTTCATGGCCATTATTAGGGTTACGCCCTTCTAATAATTTCTTTTTTCTTTTTTGGTTAACCCACTAGAACAAGGTATTATTTTACGTCTAATGAAATGGTTATATTTACAAAACAAAAAAAAAAATAATAAATTATGTCGTATTTGACATTCATCGAAAGAGCACGTCTTATAGTTATTCATCATATTTTTATGATATAGAATGTACGAACCACATCATCATCATCATCATCCTCTACAATCGAATGGAAATGAAGATAATACATTGATAAAAGAGACAATACTCGAACATGATATATCTCCTAGAAATTCAAGAGCAACAATACATTGGAGATCTGATCTAGAAGGTGATATGAATATCAAACAACCAATCAATACAGACACAGAACACTTTGATGCATTATTTGCACGTTCGAATGCTTCACCACCTTTACCACCACCCCATCCACGTTGTTATAGTTCATGTTCACCTTCGACTGTACCATTTCAAATATTTAATGATAATTCCGTACATACTTATGCAAAATCTCAACCACATTTAATATCATCATCTTCTCATTCAACTAAACAAAATGATAATCGTCGACAATCTATTGTATCATCAAATAAAAGTCAACAATCAAATTCAACATTATCATCAAATTCTGCTCAAATGAAACGAAAAACATTTTTTTTAACTCATGTTGCACAAGCATTTCTTCCAACATCACATTCACAATGCGAACAGTTGGAACCATTAGCACGATCATGTTCTTATAAACGTCCTCAATCAATAAAAAAATATCGACAACAAAAGAAAGGAAAAGAAAAAGAAAAAGAAAAAGAAAAAGAAAAAGAGAAAGAACAGAAAGAATATATTTCTACGCGCAGATATAGCACATATAACAATAACAATCTTCACACAGTCGCTTTCTATTCTGGTCGCAAATCGATTCCTGGTACATCATCAAGAATTTCTGCAACTGATCTAATGGCAACTGATGATCAATGGTCAAGTCCCAAAACACATCGATCAGAACGAATTGGTAAGATAAAAAAAAGAAAAATATAGAACAAAAAATCGATCCGAATTCTTCTTTTTTTTTTTTTTTTTGTTTTATTTTTCTTCTTCCCTAATGACTTTCTCTATTTTCTATATAAAAAAAAATGACAAAAGCACCAGCTGCTTTTTCAACCAAATTCATTGTAGTGATTTCATTGATCATGACAACAGACGAAAAAACTAATATATCGTTATTTTTTCCAATAGGTTCTTTACCACTTGATCAATTACAATTACCTCATGATGGTGATGAAGAAATTTATCGTGTAAGACAATTTAATACAACATCAAAAGGTTTTGTTAATCGCGGGTAAATAAAAAAAAACAATATAGAACAAGTTTCTTCAATATTTTTTATTTATATTAAATATTCTTTGTTTTAGTGATTCATTTAAACGTTCATTTAAACGAAGTGGTTCAATAAGTCGTCGAGGTTCAATTCGTAAAGGTGAACGTACACCATCACAAGAACATGTTAATGATTCAATATTATTAAATAATGAAATACGTACAAGTAATAATTCATTAACAAATTCTAAAACAACACCAGTTGGACCTAATCTTAATGGTATACTTGATAATAATTATAATGATTTAACTATTGAAAATATTTCATCATCACAAATAATTAATAATGAAAATAATAATAATAATGATGAAGATGATAATCCTCCACATGTTGAACGTATTGAAACAGAAGATGGTCGTTTACAAGATATACGTGTTTATCAAGTTTATTTACTTGGTATGAGTGGAACAGGAAAATGTTCACTTATAAGACAATTTAAAACAACTGAATATCGAGGAACTTATGATTATTCAAGTTCAGTCGGTAAGTTAAAATGCGTATGATTTATCAGAAATGATTGTTGCCTAATGACTCAAGGCAACGATATATACAGATGGTAAAAAGAATCATTATCAACAAACAAAATAGATTGTTAGGATGTAATAGACAGAATGTGATGAATAATACGATGTCGATAAAGAACTATATTATGTAAAAGAGAGAAGAAATAATGACGAATTAGAACAGACAGATAGAATATTGAGATATTTTTGCTTATGTTATATGTTTATACTTAACATTTACAAATCATACTAGTATTAAGCAAAAGGAATGTTATAATAATCTTTCCAATTCAGTAGTAAAGATCTTCTAGTTCTTAATACTTTTTCTTTTCAAACTATAATCAAAGACTATTGTTAATAACATTATAGAAATATAATTCCATCCTAAACAAAAAAGACTCTTTGATTTGTACTATTAAATAAAAATTTTGTAGTTGATTGAACTTGACATGATAGACAAAATAAACAAAATAGTTAATATGTCTGTCACTTCAAATAAAATCTTATCGGTAACACATAGTAATTCTGTGGAGCTATTTTTAACAATATTATTAACATTTACAAAATTACTATTGAAAAAAAAATAAAAATCTATCATATTTATAGTATATATATATTATTAATGATTAGTTGTTTTTTTCTTAAATGACTTCCGATGTATATTTTGTTTTCTTTTTATATACAAAAGTTACGTTGACAAAAATAAATAAAAGAAATTATACAAAACTGAATTAGATTTATTGCATCACAATCAATGTTAAAATTAGTTAATATTAATATCTAAATATTTAAATTAATATTAATTAATGCTAATACTAATGCTAATTCTAACACGACAATATGAAACATGATAAAAATATTTACAATATTCTAGTCACGTTTTATAATAATTAAAGTAAATTTATTGAACAATGAAACCAGATTGTCTATAATAAATAATCTATTCAGAATCTTATACGTATCATTTTTCATAGAAATTGTACCCAAAAAAAAAAATAAACAATAGAATATATATATTTTTTCATTACTATATATATATATATCTATGATTCAAAAATTCTTTCGTTATAAATAGCAATTCAACAATATAAATATATTACATCTAAAACATAATTTTATTTAATCGAATATTTATATAATTATTTTGTTTTTAATAGAAGATGATCCTGACAATACAGTTTCAATAATGCTTGATGGTATTGAATCTCGTTTACATATAATAAATATTGATGTTGATCTTGTATGTATAAATTTTGACTAGAAATTAAATTTTTTATACAAAAAAAAAACAAAAAAATTGTTTAGATCAAATGTAGTGTTACTGGTGATGCATATGTAGTTGTATATTCAATAACTGATCGTCAATCATTTCAAACAGCAATTCAATTAATAAAAAATATTCGTGAAAAAGAATTATCAAAGAATGAAACATCTATAAAACGTTATATGCCAATTATTTTAGTTGGAAATAAATCAGATCTTGTAAGAAAACGTGCTGTAACAAAAGAAAGTATGTTAAAAAAATATTTAAGAATACTAAAATTAGTATTAAAAAATTATATATTCTTTTTTTTTTTTAGCTGCTCGTCATGCAGCATCTCGATATGATTGTAAATTTGTTGAAACATCAGTAGCAATTAATGATAAAGTTGATGATTTACTTGCTGGTACATTAAAACAAATTCGTATAAGTGAACAACAACGACGTTTAAGTATAGCAGATGGTACAATGAATATTGATGATATTGAAGGAGAAAAATTAACTGGTTCATCACTACGAAAAAGTTCAACAACACATAATCAAAATTCTAAAAATATTTTTTCTAAATTTTTAAATGTTTTTCGACGAAAACCAACAAGATTACCAGTCGATGTGGAAAATTTATATACAGGTATACGATAAGAAAACAAAACATTTTTAAATGTATATAAACACACCAAAAAAAAAAAAACAAAACAAATGTATTTTTTATTTATCTGTATTGTTTTATGCATTGGAGAACCAAAAAAAAAAACACAACAAAAAAGAAAAAAGTTATTCCCCTACGCGAAACGGCTAAAATATAAATGCTAAAGATCTTTGTTTTTTTTTGTTTTGCTAAATTTGATCAAAACTTACAAATATAATAATTCAATTCTAAAATTGGCAAAAAAAAAATCAAGTAGTAAATATATATATATACATTAATAAATTTGTCTTATTATATGAAGATTATATTAAATTGATTTTCATTTTGTCAAAGAAATTTTAAGCTTATCTATTGTTCGGTAACTAAAAGAAATGATTAAATATTTTAATACTCAACATTATCTTCACACTGTTTTCTTTTTTTAGACATATAAATACATATAATATATAATTGAAATTATTTTTATTTTTATTTTCGAATAATTTATTATGTATTATAATATAAATAAAAGTTAATTAAACTATTTCAATAGCTTATCGATTTTATTGAATATTTATTAATTTAGTTAAAATATAATATTTTTATAGATTGAAAAAAACTTTCAAAAGAAAAAAAAATTTTTATAGTAAGAACGCATATAGAAAATATTCCGTGAGCAATATTAATTTCATTTAATTGATGAATAACATTCATTAATTGCTTTAAGCTATATAATATTACCTATTCAACATCATTTTTTAATATAAAAACGACAATTAACTAGAGGAGGTAATTTCTATTGAATAGGGTGATTAAAAAAAAGATCTTAGCTATTATCAATGCTGGAGATCTAAAAACAAAAAACTTTTCTGCACATATGTCGTCAACATTGAGAACCAGAAATATAATTCTGCTTCGATTGTTTCAATACAATAGAAAATTATGATAGATGACACGTATTTTTATATTAAGCTTTATGACCTGAAAAAAAACTGCTTACTCAATTTTGCACTACTTTTTTTCTAAATACATGTGATCATAGCTACGCCATTTCTCACTAGTACACACAATTAATTTATGAAATTTGTAGGCACTAATGTCTTAATATAGTGGTAGTTTTTCTAAGAATTCGAGCTTCATTAACTAAATTACTATTTGCGTTCTTGTCTGAAAAAGCACCACACGATTTTTTTTTTCTTCACATCAACAATCACAGTAATGAAATCAGTTATGGGGGGTGTAGTTGAGATATAATGTTACGTATGAGTCGTTAGCTGACCTAGAACACTCATTTTTTGTTTTTTGTTCTCGAGTGATGAAGTTCAATAAAAAGTTGGCAATATTCTTTGAAATGCAAGATAAGTAATAGATAACTTAGAAATGTAATAAACAATAAAAGCCTATCCTTTTTTCAATCTTCTTATACATTGACATTTTGTAGCATAATGAAACCTTTAGAAGATGTCATGGATGCATAGAACTATTGAATTTATTATACAATCTTCAAAAGACAATATTTCTTGTGTCATGTTAGAAAATCTAGTGTTCGAATAACAATGGAGTAAAATATTTTACTATGTGTTAAGCCTTTTTTTTTTAATCTAAAAGTAAGAAGATTATACTAGATGTACTCCTTATTAGTTCTCAAAAGATAAAGTTTTTCTGCCTCTTAGCTGCAAGATCTGTCAATTTTTGAAGAATACTTCTCTAGGCAAGTACAATAGAAGAAATGATTCATTTTCAATGATCTCACATGATTCAACATTTTTCTTTTTTTGTGTAGAAGAAAATCAAAAAAAGGATATACTTTTGTGTATTACATATGTAAGTTATCTATTAGAAAGAATTTTATTTGAAATAAAACTATATCAATTACATGTAAATCGTTTGAATAATTAAAAAGATATTCATGTTTTCTTTTTTTTTCATCGACTGAACTTTTGAAGCACTTTGCATAGAAGCATTCAATAAAGATTCAATTAAAAGATTATTTGTCTGAATTATTTCAATGAAATTTCACATAATAAACGTCGAAATATCAATGAAGTTCTCTGAGTACAATGAATTTGTTTCCTATTTTATTATATAAATATCTATTATGGCATTGAATGATGGATATGTGTATATTTGCAAAGTTTTCTTGTAATAGAATATGAAGAAAAAAAACATATGTTAAGAAACTAAAGATTGATAAGATAAATATTTGTTCGCATTGTTGACTTTATCAAGATGCGATCTACGTAATATAGTCAAACTTTATTTTTCTTACAAACATTGATTTGATTCAATTTTTAAGCTCACTTAAATATTTCTCATTGTTGTATTATTAAAAAAGAATGAGCTTTTTTTTTGCTACACTTCATTTCATGAATAACCCTATTGAAATATTTGATACGATAGAAGAACTAGAGTTCAACACAAAAAAAACTGCGTTCGTACAGGATTTCTTGATGCTAATGAAACTATTAATGATAAAATTTTATTTATATCTGTTGAATTTGAAAATTGAATGTCATTTTAATATGGAAGAAAAAAATAGCTATAAAAAAATTATATATACATATTGAATGGATGTAATACAACAAGAAAATAACTTTGAAGATATGTTGTTTAAAGATAAAATGAAATTTATTTAAGATATATTTTATATATAAGAAGATGAAATTCGCCTTTGTTTACTTTTGTTAATTCTATTTCGTAATTAGATATTTGTTATTTAGATGATAACGAATGATCAAATGATGCTGGAAGACAATTGATTGAAACTAATATGATTAATGACCTTTAAAAATCGTTGTGCGAATATTCAATGAAATCAATCAATGGCTTAATAATTTATTATAATAAATAATTAGATAAACACGTTGATGACAGTAAGACATCCATCATCCCACGTTTTTTTTAGTAGAGAAAAAAGTGATTTGTTGAAATTCAACCATGAAATTAACAAGGTCATATAAGTCATAGGTACCTCTATTTATCATCTCATATAAGGTTAAAATCTCTTTATTAGAACATCTCTTAGTACTGAATAATAGATAGTCCATTCACATGAATTTACTAGAAATAAGCATTGCTAATATGAGCATGTTTTCACTCAGAACAGTGGGCGTTTATCTCTAATCTCATAAGTAATAACAAACTCTGTAAGATGAGTAACAAATGTTCTATTACTCATGCTTAGGACGACAAAAAAAATGTTGTTATATGTATTACGTTATGATCAATAATCATTGAGATATAGATAACAAGGAAATGCATTAATCGTGTATGATTAAAGAAGAGAAAAACAATAGTAGACAACAGTAACAATACTTTATGCAAAATATCGACTTTTTTTTTTGTGTTAACAGCTAGTCAAATAAAATCACGTCAATATGTATTGATTTACTACTGATTAAAAAGACTTGAATAAATAAATTGTTGACAAGAAGAAAGATATTAACTTGTGTATATGAAAAGCGATTGTAAATGAAAAGGACGGGGGCGTATAAGCAATGGAAAATGGGCGGTTTAGAATTCATAGGCAATTTATTGGCAATTCTTTCTAGAAAAGTGAGATAAGGTTTTTTATACTAAATCCAAGCAAAACTTTCAACATTGAACGCCGTTTTGAGGTGGAGATATTGAGGATGCTTAGTATGCTCTTGGTATAGTCGTACTCATTTAGTATCTGATCAAAACGTAAAAGGTTTCGGGAATATTGGAAGCTCATTCTATTTTCATCAGGAAGAGCATTCAATTCTGCATCGATTCCTATAAGAACCGTTATTTTGTACGTACTATAATAGGACTATAAAAGGATGAGGAGTGTATTGAGTAAGACTGCATTACATGCTATCTAACATTAATTAGGTCCCT